CCGATACACGCGATTTGTCGCTTCAAGAAACTGGGGTCCCGTTGCCCGCTGGTCAAAACCGAGCAACAATCCCGACATCTTCCATTTTTCATCAAATTTTATGACAAGTGGAAGACAACAACATGGATACAAATATAACCTCAACAGAACCACGGATGACTGTGACATAAATCTAGTCTTCATCGATAGACATCCGTATGACAAACGTCATAAACGATGGGGGATTACGGATCTTCAGGAAACTCACTTTTCACTGCTCAACTCAACTGACTACTCATTGAATGAAAGTAGTAGGACGCTGTAAGGATAATTGTCCTTTCCACGACTCTCGCGAACAGACGGGAGCATTAGTGTGAAATCTTGCTTATAGGGGCGTAAATATATAAGCGTCAAATAGCCAATGTGAACTAGCCTATTTAACTAAAAATGTTCCTATATTTATTGCGTTCGAGAGCGCGTAAAGAAATGAAAATTTATAAAACACTTCCTGATAAAAGCATTTTCTCCCATTGAACATTCGCAAGCAAGAAGACATTCGAAGTGGAAATGAACGTGATGGAAGTGTACAAGGACCAAAGATGAACTTACCAGGTAACTGATGCGCAGCAGCATATAGTTGGTGAAGCTGCTGTTGTGCCGAAGCAAGGGCCTGTTGCTGTTGTTGTTGTTGTTGCTGCTGCTGTTGCTGCTGTTGTTGCTGCTGCAGGCTTGGAGAATTGCTAACCGCCGGACTGATGGGAGGGGAAGTGGCGGATTGCGCTGGATAAAGCAAATGCCGTGTGGTTGCCGCGTTTTGTTGTTGCTGCTGAACAAAGAAAACACCATGCAGTGAAACCAATGGGAATTTACTGGATCCATCAAACGACTACATTATTGGTTTGAAAAATACCAACAACTGTAAACCGTTATTTATTAAAAAGAAAGGTTTCTAGAGGCGTGTGGAGCCCATGTTACGGAGGCCCAATATTCATAACTAGGATCAGCACCAGACGGAAGGTAAATTCAAACGCAGTCAACAAGGCTGTAAGCTAACCGGTGCATCTCTCAGTCGTGGACCGAGTTGTTAAGCGCACACAAGAAGGCATTGAATCTCAGAACGACTGATTATTATTGTAAAACTCATTTCAAGGACATTTGAGGATGCGGCGATACTTCATCTGACAAACAATTTATTCAGCAAATATCTGATGTTTTGCGAAATACATTACAGCATGCGCTATTAAGGCCGGTCAATAATCCAGACCATCACTTACACCCTACGATCAGATCACAGGTACTGGGTATGCCAGTTTGTACCATATGTACGAGTATCTTTGAGGAAACACTATCCATAGAGAAAACTTACGATTGCGTAAGATATTCGCGCAAACCTATAAACACCAGCTAACTTGGTGATTTCTCCTCTTCGCGAACCGATCGTGTGCGTCCGTGGACGATCGAAGCGTTTCATTTTTGAAACTTCATATCACAAATCCGTCACTATAGAACTGAAAAGCGAAACCGTAGATGAACGGAAAACAAGAAACCAACCGCGGTATGTTATTGTTGAATCCTATGTCGCAGAGGAGTTGAAGCCGTAGCAAGCAATCCATGACCCGCCATACAGTGTGCTTGAAATTTTTCGGTCTAGTTCCAGGAAACGATTGTTTCCGTTTGTTACTTCGTCTTATTGTTTTTGTCTGCTTTTCGCTGTAATACACACATTCCTTCCAATCCAATACTCATTCAGATTGAGTACTATCTTTATCTTATTGTCATCAATCCCCTGTTGCTGTGATCTACTTTTGACCTTTTCACTGGTTACATGGTTTTCTTTAAGTTTCCAAGTAATTCTCAGAGTGTAGTGGTCGATTGTTTCTGTTTCGAAAATCCGTCCATTCGTATGAGGCATTAATCGATAAAAATCGACAGAAATTTCTAGACATTTCGCAGAATGCGCTAGAACGCACGAGAAGTCACGTGAGTCCCCGATTCCCACACTATGATAGGTTACCTTCGCGAGGAGTAAGAGCTTGAAATCACTCGCATCACCTGTTTTGAGCTCTTTATCCTGAGGTCCGAACTCTTACACCGCTATCAAGATGGGGTAGTATTCAGTTTTGTTTTCATCCAGCAAAATACATCTATGCTAGTTGAGCCTTGCCTTGTTCTTTCAAAGACCTACGCGTGAACAGTAGGTCCCCAGGATTACGGTTATTACCCCTGCTCTTCACTATACAAATGTGTAATATTGAAAAACTTCATCTTGACTTTGTGTTAAACTCGTCCTCATCGTCTATGTGTGATAATTCGTGATAAGCCAAGATCGAAGACAATCATATATCATGGTCTGTTTCTTGCACTTTGTACACTCATGGTTTTGCTTTCTGGCTTAGTCACGGATTTATGATATGAGGTTCGGAAAGAAACCGTTTCGAAGGTCCGTGAACGCACATGATCACTTCAGAAATAAAGTCAGCTGGTATTTTCGTTCTGAGCGAAAATTTTGCGCAATTTGATATACCATAAATGACGTTAGACGGATTACTCAGTATTCAGTATGCTGAAGAAAACCATATTACAGGCAGCGCTGCTAGTGGAGATCCACGGGAATGCGGGATATCATTTGAAAAATAAGTCCATAATCATAGTCGATTGGGAGAACAGTGTCTTATCCATCCCCAACTCTACTTCGCGTTTTCAGTATTTTACTTTGTCTGTATTATGAGCACAACAAAATCCAGGAACCCTTCAGCGATTCGGAAAATACCGACTAACAAAACTTTAGACAGTGGGACAAGAACACGCATAACTCCATTGTATTTAGTTAATTAATGAATTAACTTTCAGTAAGAGTTAATCAAGCAGCGTCCTGCACAAAATGCATCATGTGATTTACACGCATACGATTACGCATGATGCGACATGCATGCACGCATACACACGCCGATACAGGATGCTCGTACCAACAGCCTCATCGATCCATATCTTGTGGCAACATGTTCAATGACCTAATGCATGAAAACAGACCCGAAAAGGAGTGCTCAACAAGGAACAAAACAACATCAAACCACGAATGGCTGGAGTGAATTCATTGGAAAGAGGTGCAAGATAAAACGCGGAAAGTGGGAACGAAATGAAGAAAATAGAAGAGCGATAATTAGAAACGAAGGAGTGCCATACCTACCATTAAACCACACCTTCGGAGACCGAAAGCATGCAATCGCAGCATACGAACGGTAATTTGTATAAGAGTATAAGGTGGAAACCGTGAAACCAACACATTTCACGAGTGTGACTGAGTTGTCCCAAACGATGGGAGAAGTTCTTCTGGACCGATTGTGTCCTAGTGATTTATTGACAATGATATAACTCAGGCCCAGATTCCGTTTGGTTTACACAACCATTAACCCTGTATCTTCGTACTGTGGCTCTGGTAGCCGTTTTTTCAACTGGCCATCAAATCAAAGAAACATGTAAATGGCTAAGACTGAGCGAACTAGCAGTGGCGTTCCCAGTCTAAGTAGGTGCTCAACAAGTCGTTTCAACAAGAATCCGATGTACTTGCAAAAACTAACGGTAAGAAGGTAGGGACAAAATGAAATACTAAACGAAAACCTGCAAACCACAGAGGCCATGGCTTCGAAGGTTATGGCATAATGATTCTCTAAAAGATGACCTGGAACGTGCGGATGGGACACAAAATTGAACTAGGAAGGTGACTAGGAAATACAGGAAGTATATCAAGAGAACACTTAGTGGGTTTTTCATTTCGAGGATCAATGCTCAAGTTTGATGTTCAAGCCCTGATTATTTTCAGACAATTCATATTATTCACTGTGAGAAGTATTAAGTACAAAGGCTACTTGAGGGTAAACAAAAAAGATCAAACATATTGTGATATAAGATTGTTCCTTTCAGATTCACGGCCCCCAAGCCGTTTTCCAATGAACTGTTAAATCACGAAAGACCCTCATAGCATCAGTGACAGGTTGATATTGCGCAATGGACAACTTATTTAATACAACTGTTTTACGACAAAGTCCGACACTCGTATCAGTTAGTGGGTTAGGAGTGCACATTTTGATCGCAAAATGCGGACAGTCGTATAATTCATACCACGCGCGTTATAATACATTTTTAAGCTCGGAATGCAACGAGTGTTCATTGTTGTCTAACGATACCAATCGATCAATTTTAGGAGCAAAATGACAATCAGTGTTGAGTACGACTACAGAAGCGTTGACCGATTATCGAAAGTTCTGTACAAATAGGAATTGACATCAGCAGCTAGGTGGCTGAGGATCGCCGTCGGCAATGCGCTAACGTTTAATCGAGAGCAAAACAGGCGCTCATAACCATGATATTTTTCAGAACTGTCGTGCACGCTCGTTCGGTCCGCAGGAGGGTGAGTGAACGTCTGAATTGGTACCACGTGATGACGAACGGTGGATCAGCAGGCATTGATGGTACGTAAGATGTGTGCGCACATGCATTGGAGTACTGCCGAGGTGACTAGACAGACTAGGGTGTTCGTCGTCGTAGCTCCGTTTCACCCGAACAAGCTTGGTCTTCAATCAGTGCGTACGTACGCTCGCACGTATGTGTGTAAACATCAAGGCTTTGCACACAAAACGCGGCCACAGAAATCATCTACTAGACACAAAGACCTACAAGCGCAGACCATGAAAGACAAACACACAACGGGCACGCATAAATAAGCGCGTGAGTCCCTCCGACGAACATCGCGCCCTAGTCCGATGTGCGTGGACATGGTAGGCCATGCCGGGTCGGTGCGTGTCTGCCACACTAAATGCCCCAATGTATGCTGGTCTATACGCCCGAGGGCGGTGTACAGTTGGACCGTAAATGACTAATCGGGGTCCTGCAGTGGGGTCGGGGGAGGATTGTGATCGACAGACACACACGCCAGACGCATGAAACAAGGACAGAGCTAGGGTG